TGTCTGTCTGTCTGTCTGTCTGTCTGTCTGTCTGTCTGTCCACTCTATCCGGATAAGCTATCTTGGAGTCAGTGGCGTAGAAATTGCAGAGCGTACTATTTGGAATAGCATGTATTACTTTTTTAATATTTTCCTATTGATAAAGACGGCACTCTTGCTTGTTAGAAGCTAACAAACTCTATGCCCCCCCCCCTTCGCATTTATCTAAAAATCGGAAGGGTGTACGTATATGCATATATGAAAACGTTGTCTACACTTGTTGGCTTGTGCTTCGGAGTGTGCGGGAGGTTTATGAAAAGCCACTTTCCTCGAAAGCTCGCAGCGAGAGGTTTCAAAGGTCATCGACGCTACTCTACAATGTAACACACTTTCAACGGTAGACTTATAAAGTCGTGGAATAGGATGGAGCAAGCATGAATGCACAAAGCTGAGCAGTCAACATCTACCAGAAACACACTGCTCAAGGCTATCATTATCGACAGCCAGAAATATTTTTTTTGGGGGGGAGTAAAATGCCTTACCTTGACACAACAACGGTCGCTTCGTGATAGGAAATTATAGCAACACTGATAGACAGAAAAAAGGAGAAGAAAGTCCTACCAAAGAACAATTCCAATCTCTTGCAGAAACATTTCCCTCAACTCAAAGTCTGTTGTTACTTTTGCGTTGCAGCTGCATTGAGAGCAAGCAAGAAAACGGTCTTTCGCCTACAAGAACAAACTGTAATTCTAACTAACGGTACAGGTGTTATAATCACCTGTCGACACAATTGTAGATCACACAGGTGACAGAATGCTTCGACCTTGCCTGCCAAGGCCATCCTTGGCTGACATGGAGGCAATGTATCACCAGACAGACGGATATCCTCGATTAAAATATAACCCACCAAAGCAACAGAATAAGGATAAACAACAAATAAGAAATAGAAGGACCAGACCAGACCATCAATGATTTATTTATAGAGGCAAAAAAAAAAAGAAAAAAAGAAATAGAAGGAGTAGGATAAAAAGGAGCGCCTGCCCAGATGAAAAGGGTAGGTTGAAGAAAGATTCCACGAGCTAACTCACCATTCTGCCCAAACGAGGGTTGTTGAAATGATGCAACCCGCTTGTCGAAGTGGTTCTAACCCATTTGCCGAAGCGGTTCATAGCATATTATTTGTCGAAGAGGTGCACTAACATCGTATCCGGATTTTGCTAAAGCGACTCATTGCCCAGCCCTACATTTTATAGGCGATAACCCAACCACTGGACTACGGACGTCAAGTAAGTGTATAACTTCCCAATGTCTCCAATAGAG